AGCAAACAGACTTCATCTTTTAAAAGATAGGAGAGTGCTTCAAGTACTAATGTCTCATTTCTTCTAGTAATAAGAATAAAAATGAAAAATAGATGATGGTACTGAAGTATAAGGATGATACTAAACCAAATATAGCTAGTTCAAAGCATTGATTGCAGAATGATTCCGCAGTCAAACTAAAGATGAAGGAGGGCTTCTAAACTGCAGTCTGCTCATTCATTGGCATCCTTCAGTATCAAAAGACTCTGGTATCGTGTTCTGGAAAGAGGTCCTAAAACAGCATCTAGTGTGACTAAAAAGGCCAATTCGAGAGTGGCAATTGCTTCCACACTGAGGGCAGATACATTCTGTCCCCTGCCCAGATTTCGCTGGTACCGGGACTGCCTTTTTGCCTCAGCCTGCCGAACAAGTGTCTGTTTGAATTGGAGAAGGCCATGCTGTGTCTTTAGCCTCCAAGCTGAACAATCGGAGGTCAAGGTTTCCCAATTGTTAATGTCCATTCCCAGGGCCTTTAGGTCCCTCTTGCAGATATCCTTATATCGCAGCTGTGGTCTCCCTCTGAGGTGCTCTCCCTGCACTAATTCTCCCTGCACTAGATCTCTACAGGAGATCTTTCGGAATCTGACCATCAGCCATTCTCACAACATGCCCAAGCCAGCATAGACGTCACTGTTTCAATAGTGTATACATGCTAGAAATTCCAGCATGTTCCAAGACTGCGCTATTTGGAACTTTGTCCTGCCAGGTGATGCCAAGAATACGTCGGAGACAGCACATATGAAAGGTGTTCAACTTTCTTTCCTGCCGTGCGTAAAGGGTCCAAGACTCACTGCAGTACAAGAGTGTGCTTAGGATGCAGGGTCTTTAGACCTGGATCTTTGTATGTTCTGTCAGCTTCTTATTAAGCCATACTCTCTTTGTAAGTCTGGAAAATGTGGTGGCCACTTTACCAATACATTTATTCAGTTCCGTATCTAAAGAGAGAGTGTCAGAGATAGTCGAGCCGAGGTACACAAAGTCATGGATGACCTTCAGTTCTTGTGCAGAGATTGTAATACAGGGAGGTGAATCCAAGTCCTGACCCATGAATTGTGTTTTTTTCAGGCTGATTGTTAGTCCAAAGTCTTGGCAGGCCTTGCTAAAACTTTAGCAGTCTGCTAAACGTTTATAAACTGGTCTGACACATTTTATGCTGCCAGTGGTTAATAAATTGTTCAGTCAATACATACATTCTAGGAAAATTATGTGGATGTATCCAAGAGTAGAGAGCCACTTTGGCATAGTGGTTAAGACATCAGGCTTGAAATGCATGATTTCTAGTCCCATTTTTGGCATAAAGCTAGTTGGGTGGCTTGGACCAGTCATTCTCACTCAGCCCTAGGAAGGTGGCAATGGCAAGCCACTTCCAAAAATCTTGCCAAGAAAACTTGAAGGACTTGCAGAAAACAAACCAAAGGTAGCCCTGAATATAGAATTCTATTCTATCCTATCCCTCAGTGGGGATCTCACTCAGTGGGATATATAGTGGTACTGACTTTGCTTGCTAAGACTGAGCTCAGTTCAAATGAATATTGAAACAAATTACCATGTAGTACTTTTAATAATGAAAAAATAAAATAAAATGTTGGTAGTATTGTTCCAATGTTTCCATGGATACAATATGTAACTTCTACATGAAAATTTATGGATAAAATTGGATTCTATAATTAGGAATAATTAGGAATATAGTTGATGATATAATAAAGGATTTATTATTCATTAGATAGTTTTGGATGCTAAATATATTTCATCTCCATCTCTTTCTCGTTATCAAATGTTTTCCAATTGCTTTGCAAACACCTTGATGAAGATTTAGATGAAAGCCTTATAATCTACTTTCCCAAAATGTCCTCTGTTGCTGAATAGTATCAATAGGAGCTAGGGATCTCAGCAGTACTTGTTTATCAATGTATTTATCCAAGGGAAGATGAACGTAAGTCAAGGACATTCCCTCAGACTTTTCAATGTCTCTCTGCCCTTATTTTTCCTTGCAATATTCACATCTTTGGTAAAGGTTGCTGTCTCCAGGGAAAAAGTCCTACAGCTCTAAAACAAGGTTTGTCCCTATATTACCTTATAAATGCGATGGCTTTTAAAGAGGCTTCGGCACGGTTTTAGTTTCTCTGTGAGTTAATGTGAGATCTGGTTGTTTCATTCTTTAGTTGCTTATTAATAACCACGGTTTCAAATGATTATCTATTTACCCGTTCCCTACACAGACATTTTTATCTCAGAGCATTATTTGAAATGTATTGGTATTGTATTGGTTGTTTTAGTGGTCATATTGTTTTAATATATTACAACGATTGTTTGGATGGTACTATTCGTTTGTTGTGTTCTGAAATTTTATTGAATTGATTTTGTGTTGTGTTTTCCTAAAGATGCATAATATATATTAAGAGTGAACTGATTAGTCTAGATCAGAACCATCTGGCATAAGGAGGGAGCATGTTGCTCCTTTCCCCTTGGCCAATTTTTCCTTTGTCTGGAATTAATTCATAGATCATTTGTATCTAGCAAGTATTGCTCAGTATAGTTTTTTAGCTATCTCGAGAAAGGGAGCTCACTTGATCTTTGCAGCTTGCAACGTCTTCATAGTCAATTTGTTAGCTTCTCCATTGAATCAAAATCTGAATTTTTAGAAAGCTTGAAATCCTTTAAATTGTCAACTCTAAGTTTATTAAAGCTATTCTTGACGTTGCAAGTTACAAGTGAAGTTGGTTATGGAGGTTTTCAGTCATCCAGGTCATGGTAGTCCCAAAGGTGCTTTTTCAAGAGGCAACTGGACTTTCTGGTTTGAGAAACCAGAAAGTCCAGTTGCCTCTTGAAAAAGGACCTTTACACGTGAAGTTGTATTCATTTAATACTGCCTTGTTTAATTAACATAATTACAATAATAATGAAAAAGTAACTTTACAACCAATCCGTGCACTTTTGCAGGTCTGTAAACAGGGTGGATAAAAATCGATGATTTTTTTTAAAAAATAAAAAAAATCAGATTTTTTGATTTAAATCGGATTTTTTTGATTTAAATCGATTTAAATCAGATTTTTTTGATTTTTATTGAATTTATTTTAATAAAAAACTTTTGGGGTAAAAATCTATCGTAAGAGTTTTCTATTTAAGATACATAAATAATTTAGTTTATTCAGCATGAAATGGAGCTTAGTTATGTAGCACAAGGCTGTATATTCTGCAACACTGGGACTATCGGTGAGTCAACATCTCTCTGAGATGACAGTTGGTCTTTAAAAATTGTGATTTAAATCGAGTTGATCTAAATCAAGTCTTTTTACTAGTGATTTAAATCGACTCAATTTAAATCAAATCCACCCTGTCTATAAAACAAAGGAAAACTGAAGTAACAATATAAATACAGTTGTAGTTTCACTTAGGATATCTTATGATGACTTTTGTTAATTATACAGATTTTTCTTTGGTATTATTTGTACCTCTTCCAAGCTATTGAGTAAGATGTAATTGTGTTGTTTCATTTTTGTGAAATAGATTAAACTAAGAGATGCATTATCCAATATACCTAGTGATTGATTGGCTATAGAAAGCAAGCCTAAATTCAATACTCTTCATCCAAAACTACAAGAATATGTTAGACTCCCTTGATTTATTTAGCATACAGTTAGGTTTCTCCACACAGAGGCTATATTTTATTATTTTATACTAGTAGTTGTTTTATTGGAAGAATAACTATCATGTAGTGGTCACATTTATTTTATCCAGTTTTATTGGTATTTCTATTGAAGAAATTTCTAATTTTAGTCCAAAGCAAAAATCTATCTTAAGCACTATATGAGTTGCATTCTTTATCTGCAAACTAGAGTAATAAGTGGTCATTAATACTTACATGTAAGTCTTGCTTTTAGTGGTAATACTAAAAAAAAATATTCCTGTTGATGCATCTTGTAAAGAAATTTGTATCTTTTTTTAGTACTTAGGTGTTTTGTGGGATAGGAGGTGTTATGTCTTTTTTCAAATAATTTTAGAAACTACCTAAATTTTCTTGAAGGGGTTGTTCAACTGAGTGAATAATAACTATGATGACAAATGTCCTCTTCTTAAAACCATTGCTGTTTATTTGATTAGCATATGAATGGAGACTCTTGAAAATAAATGACTGGGACGAGTATAAAAAAGTCAAGGAATGGTTTCTCTGCCTTGTGACCGCCCACAGTTGAATTTTGAAAGAGAGTTGTTGCAGTAGAAGATAATATATGTAACTCAGGGCTGAATTGGTTGAATGCTTAATGCTTAATGCTTAATGCTTTCTGAACTTGGTTTACAGATGTTTCATTACCCAACTATGTAACATAAGTGCCTTCATCAGAGAGTTGTTGATTATTCTTTACTTCTTAACTAATTATGTTAATGGATTTCAAAGCATGGCATACATATATAGTTCTATATTGTCACACAATTTAGATTTTATGAAACAATTTCCCAATAAATATCTTTTTTTAAAAAAATCACACAATATAATTAATCTCTAATTAACAGAGTCCTTATATTCTTTCAATTTCTTTTCCCACAATATATTCTTGCTAAGTTATTGTGTGTATTCTTGCAGATCTACCTTAGCCAAGAAAAGAAATTGCATGCACACAAACACACACACACACCCATGAGCAAAGCAAATTAGAAGAGGGGATATTTAATAAAGAGTTGCCTTAGGAACAAGCAACGTTCAGCCAATATGGGCTAATTTCTTAAGCTAAGTAGAGTCAGAATTGGTTGGTATTTGGATCAGAAATTTCCTGAAGATTTTATGGTTTTGGGTTAGATTGAAAAGTAAAAAAAAATTCCACAAAGCAGTAGAGGAAATCCATAACATTTCTTAGGGGGTTTATGCAGACATCAGAAAATATACTTGATTCCATTTTTGTTTGGCTCCATTTTATGTTAAAGCTCAATATTCCAACTAACACTGAGCTGCTTAATGTTTTCAGATGCAGATGGAAACCTGTGTAAAAATTACCAGCTCCTGACAGTAATTTTAACCATGCATCGACTTATCATCTCCTCATCTGAGATACTACGAAAACTAATAGATCTATATCCTTTTATATTTTTTTAAATTAATGCCTTAATTGCTGATCTAAAGCTATGACAACACAATGATTTGAAAATAATATTCCAACAAAATATTTTTTCTTTGGATTAGAAATAGTATGTAAATCGCTATAATTTTTATATATTTAATTAAATTGTGTCTCAAATATTCTTGATCTTATTTCAATCTATGATTTTGAAAAATCTGAACTTTAAGAACAGTAATGGCTATATACACTAAATCTTCATATCATAAAAATATTGTAATGGTTGTATGTATGTGTTTCTACTTCTACCCCTCCCCCCCCGCCTTCCCAACCTTGTATTACTTGGAAATGTATCCTCCTTGGAAAATATTTTCCAAAAAGATTTTGTCTGTTTCAAAATGAAAAGTTACTATTCCTTTTACATTTGCCAACTAGTTTGTATTGTTTTCAGTTTCTGTTTATATTAATTTGCCCCACAGAATTTGTTGTGGATTTTATTCACAAACTTTATTTAATTTCAACTTTGTGATAATATATTTGATCAGATTATTCCTCATGTAGGGTTTTAATATATCAAGCAGCTAGTCCTTTGTCATACTTTTGAAATTAAAGTAGATGTTAAATACAAGCTATTTTCAATCAAAATAAAAATATATTTAAGCTACAAAAAAATGTATGTTGGGTTAGGTAGGACCACATAACAAGGGAACTCTTTATCAAAATGCAAAAGTAAAAAAAAATGACCTACACAGCTGAATTGAAATAGAAGACTGATTATTCTATTTTCCTAACAGGTATATTGAGAACCCTTGGTGCAAGCTAACAGTACATGTACCCAGTGGTGAAATCCAATTTTTTTTACTATTGCTTCTGTGGGCCTGGCGTGGTGGGCAAGGCGTGGTGGGCATGGCAGGGGAAGGATTCTGCAAAATCCCCATTCCCACCCCACTCTGGGGCCAGCCAGAGGTGGTATTTGCCAGTTCTCCAAACTACTCAAAATTTCTGCTACCAGTTCTCCGAACTGCTCAAAATTTCCGCTACCGGTTCTCCAGAACTTGTCAGAACCTGCTGGATTTCACCCCTGCATGTACCTGATACGATCCAGTCTGTATAACTAGGTCCTTTTTTATTTCTGGATTTTAATTACCTGGTCTGCTGTAGGGCTCTTGTAAGCTTTTCCATTTTTCTTATATGATTGTGAATGTATATCTTGTTGTTTTTAAAGTATAAAGAGAAATGGTCCTAATCTGCAAAAAAAGATTAGATTAAAAAAAACTACTTATCTGGAGGGGCACCCCCACTCTAAATAAACATGTAAAACATATCTAAATTAGAGGAATAGGTCATGTTTATCTAAACAGAAATAGGCACTTGGAGTTCATATGTGACCATCAGGACTATATTGTACCCTTCCTGATTGTATCATTTAAGTTGGTGGCAGAATTGCCAAATTTTAGCAACATGATTTGAGGTCTTTTTCAAATTTTTGGTTAGCTTTGAAGATGGAAGTGGGAAGAGTTTGCCTGTGGATATTCTTCCTTTCCCATCTAACCTTTTCAAGCCAATATCCCTGGCCAAGAAAAGGAATGAAAAAATGGCTTATGTTTCTTTTGATGAATTATAGCTCTTCAGACACTTAGAAGGCTGAGTTGCTGTGCCAGTGGCATATATCCCTATGATTATTTCCCCCCCCATATCTGATTTTTAATTGGTCTTTCTTTTCTATTTGATAGTTCAAATTCCTTTGTACAATTTTCTTCTGGAATTTGCATTCCAGGAACTAAAGTTCCGAAAGACTTTACTTAATTTTTGTAATAATATCATGGTAAAAATGATGCAATACGCATAGCTTGCATAATGATATAATGATGCAAATTATATAAATCACTGCAAATTATATACTTCCACATTTGACAGATATTTGTGAATAAGCTCCTAATATAAAAAACATTTTCTGTTCTAATTAAAATGGTATATTTTCATTGTTAATATGGCATTTAATTTCTTATTTTTCGTGTGTTTTAACATATTTTCCTTAGCATATACCTACATATAAGGGTGCCTTGGAAAATAATTCTTTGCTCTGCTGTAAGATATGTTACCTTGTGAGGTGAGAACACGTTTATTTATAAGAATTAACCTGCAAAATCTCCTTTATTAGACCTCAGTGCAATAGCTTTTGCATGCAATGGACCAGATATCTGTGGCGATTCGTATAATTTACATAATTCCATCAGTTTGCAAATCAAAAATCAGGTAATGTATATCATTTTGTTTCATCTTGCAGGTTTGTGTATTGACATTTTTGTTCAAATGAGCAAAATTTCTACAATGACATGCTTAGAGCCTTGGTGGTTCAGCGGACTAAGGGCTGTTATGTAGCACTTAGCTGCCAGCTGCCTGCAATTAGTGCAAATTCAAGTCTCACCAGGCTCAAGGTTGACTCAGCCTTCCATCCTTCCGAGGTATGTAAATTGAGGACCCGGATTGTGGGGGCAATAAGCTGGCTTTGTAGAAACACCACTTATGGGGGGCCAAAAGCCCTAATAAGCAGGTATATACAAAAGAATGAAGGCTATTGCTATAAGTGCATTGTAAGCCGCCCTGAGTATATAAATTGAACTAATAAATAAATAAATAAATAAATAAATAAATAAATAAATAAATAAATAAATTGACATATAATTTGCTAGTTTGTGAATCCTTCTTGTGAATATCCCAGAGCCACCTTTCATTTTTTTTGTTTCTCCATATATAGTTGGATGTACTGATAGTCTTGGCCATACACATTATGCTTTAGATTGTTACAAATATAATTTTAAGCATACTTAACGTATTGGGAATGAGGTAGATAGAAAATTGATAGAAATAAATTTTAAGAAAACCTCCATAAGATAATACCGTAAGAAATGGAAAGCAGTCATATTATAACCTTAACCTAATATATAACTATATTTTAGTTGTTAATTCTTTGGAAATCACAGCATTTTTAAATTAAATATATATAAATTTAGAAAAATGCTCAGAAAGTGCAATACAGTCATATATTTAACTTCAAAAGGGAATATTTCCCAGAAATAAGTAGAAGTAGAACTCAAAAGTCTGAAGCCACCATAAATGAAGAAGGAATTTGAGGAACACACTGCTAAAAGTGAAAATGCGAGGTATTAATTCAAATTTATTGTCAGAGTACAACATGTGTATTAAGAGATTGGCTGAGCCTCCCTTCGCGCACCCCCCCAACACATGCAGTTTGTTTTAGTCATAAGTAGTAATCAAATCTATTCTTTGCCCAGGTATTTGAAAGATATGTAATTAATTAAGTTAAATTAACTCTGCCATTACCTATTAATTTTTTATGCTACATTCATTTGCAATGCCTTAAGGAAGCACATATATGAAATATATAGGATAATATTCTTATTTGTATAAATACAAATAGTATCCTTATGCTCAGCCAGAATAATTGATGAAAGCTTTAATTAGACAAAACAGACTGAATTTGTGATATGGCTCCATTATTAACATCCTTCCATCTATTTTTTTTTTTTACTTTTTTATTTCCACTTTAATAGTTTCTAATATTTTAATAATTTTTATATAATGGTTTTGGGTAATGATTGTTTTATATTTATTGTGTTATTGGATTGTTGTATGCTGCCCAAAGTCACTTTCCATGACATGGGCAGTCATATACATTTGAAAAATAAATAAATAAAATTGTACAGAAAAACAATAAAACAGAATATTTTTTTAAAAAAATAGTGTAACACAAATTCTGGCTAGATTATATATGTCTCTTTCCACCAAAGTAGCTACATTTTTTTAAAGAAAGACCCACTCTTTTCTTTTACCTTCCTTTTTTCTGGAAATTGTACCTTTAATATGAAGTTCTGGAGAACAATATTAATCTTATATTACCAATTTTGGAAGAAATGATAGCAAGGTTCTGAAAAAAAATCTGGAATATATTGTTTCTTGAAATAAAGAGCTGCAATTTACAATTATATATGGTATATAATTGCAAGTACAATTTACAATTATATATGGTATATAATAGCAAGTACAATTATATATGGTATATAATTGCAAATTTCTTTCTTTTTTGTACACAGATATTGGATAAGAGAATTCTGGATCATGTTTAAAACAGATACCAATCTTACAAATACTATGGAAGAATTTCAGGAATTGGTGAAAGCTAATGGTGAGGAGTTACACTGCCGCCTAATTGACACATCTCAAATGTGAGTGTCAATGCCTTAGTATAGAATCCCCAATAAATAATTTATATGGCCATTGAGGTGTGTGTCAGAAAGAGGGAGGGGGAGGAATTGGCTTTTTTTGTATGAAATGACTTCTTCATATTATTAAATGGCAGTGATTAAAACCATACCTTTTAAAAAAATTTTGTACTGTATATCTGTGGTAATTACAGGTAGTCCTTGACTTATAACCATGCATTTAGTCCATTTGATGTTACAATAGTACTGAAAAAAGTAACTTATGACCATTTTTCAAACTTACAACTATTGCAGCATCCTCATGGTCATGTAATCAAAATAGTTTAGGATGTTTCCAATATAACTAGGGATATTTTTTATTACTAAAATAAGTAGTATATTTTTACACTTTTGTTGTAAGCCATCCAGAGTTACTTGGATAGTAAGATGTGGAAGCATATCAGTATAATGAATAAATATTAATCCACACAGACAAATATTTTTTCAGTGTGTTGAAAATACAAAGCAACCTCTATATGGATAAAATCAGAAAACCCCACAAGAGTTACATATTGTATGATTTTAGCTTGATTTTAGCTAATTACAGAAATTCATGCTATGAATTCAAATCTATTTTCTACCAATAATATAACATTCATTTGCTAATTCAGTCAGATGATGATACCTTATTAGATAAAAAGAAACAATTTCTAAACTTCTCAACTTTCAAGTACACATAATTTTGCCATTTTAGATTCATCTACTATAGAGATATAAGATAGACCTGCTAGAAGTTATTAAACATTACAGCAGCACTTCTTTTCATTGCTGCTCTTTGCATGATTTTGAGACAAAGGAATATGCTAGTAAATATTCTTGTGGGTAAAATTTGATTTTCTTTTTCCTTTGTAAAGAAATGCTCGAGATTGGTCGAGAAAGATAACCCAGAGAATAAAATCTAACAGCAGTAAGAAACGAAAAGTTTCACTGCTCTTTGATCATCTGGAACCAGAGGAGTTGTCAGATCACCTTACCTACCTTGAATTCAAGTCCTTCCGACGAATATCAGTGAGTTAATGACTTTTTATAATTTCAATTATAATTTATTATAATTTATAAATAACTTATAAATTATGCAGTTCCTTTGAATAATGCATGTAGTGAGATAAGTTCAGTATAGAAAGATGAAGGTAATGAAGTAATGGTGCTGAAGCGGAATACATTTTCCATCTAGTTTTAAATTTCTGAGAGCAAGGAAAGAGATGTGATGAGTGTAAATTGCTACATGCTTAATAGTATCCAGTGATCTGTTGTATAACTGACAGATTTTCAATAGAATGCAAAGGTAATTAATTCAAATAATTAAAATTCAAATAAGCTCAAAGTTTTATTATGGAAGATATGGATATTATAAGGAAAGGTTTTCTTTTAACAAGCACACTTCTTAAATATTTTGTTTAGAATATAGAGTCTAGACAAACACACTATTTTTAGAGTCCATTTGTTAATCAAAATGTTGAAGGTGTTGGAAGTATCTCCTTCCCATTTGGTCTTGAATTAAAAGTGGTTCAAAAAAGCAGTGATATAGGGAACAACAGGTGGTGGTGTGGGCAAAGTTAGAAAGTGCACCTTTCAGTTGTGCTCCTTAAACTTTAGTTGGTTGAAACTTGACTGGCCCTCTCCCTGATTATCATTCAAGATAATGTTGGAAATAAATCTTTCTAAAGACAAATGACACTTTTGCTGTGTCTGTGTGCTTAAGTACAATTAACTGAAATTATTGTTTGGCATGACTGGTTTTCTTCCATTTCTAATTTCTAATTAAAAATTTCTAATGATTTAATTTGGAATACACACACACACACACACACACACACACTTGGGATGTTTTAGATGTTATGCTTATGGCTGCCAAGTTGTTAAACTGTGATTGAATAAATGGAATAGATGGTTGATAATAAGGAAGGAAGGAAACATATTGTATTTGTAAAAAAAATCGGTTTTGATTGCATTGAACAGGCCACTCGGTTGCATAACAGAGTTGATGATAAATGAATGCTAAGATAATTTTGTTTATGTACAAATGAAAGAACTATTTTATGCACTGATGTAAAATAAATAAGCATTTGCTTTTGGAAGAGCATATTTCAAAGTAGTGTCTATGTTCTGTTGCTTTCTTTTGTTCAGGTCCTCATTCCCATAATAACTCTGTCAAATGTTATAAAAGCCAGGGGAGGACATTTTAAATGAGGCAATATACCTCAGTGTGGATCTTGATGTAAAAATAGAGGGAAAATCTCTGTCTGTATAGAAATTGATAACTAAAACAAGTATCTTATTTTAGTAGATGATTTTTTTTGAAGCAAGTTTCAGCATGGAGATTCTTAATGTAGGAATTTTCTGTGAAAATACTGTGTTCTACTGGAACTATTCTTTGTCTGCCATAAACATCTTTAAGGGTTTACAGCATTGACATAGCATTAAGAGATTTTCCAAGCAGTTTTCTAGACTATTGTTGTTTAATCCTGGCTAACTAGCTTGAGATTATATTTTAATAACCCTGTTTCGATTTCCGTAAGCTAAATACAGGCAGTTTTCCACTTACGACTACAGTGGAGCCCAAAATTTCTGTTGCTAACTGAGACATTTGCTAAGTGAATTTCGCCCCATTTTACAATTTTTCTCAATACAGTTGTTAAGTGAATCACTGCAGTTATTAAATTAGTAACATGGTTGTTAAGTGAATCTGGCTTCCCTGTTGACTTTGCTTATCAGGTCACAAAAGGGGATCACATTACTTCAGGACACTGCAACCATCATAAATATGAGTTAGTTGCCAAGCATCTGAATTTTGGTCATGTGACCATGGGTTGCTACAACGATTATAAGTGTGAAAAACGGTCATAAGTCACTTTTTTCAGTGCTGTTATAACTTCAAACGATCAATAAACAAACTGTTGTAAATTTAAGACTATCTGCAGAGGTTACATAGAATAATTTAATTTAATTTAATAATAATTTATAAGCTGTCAATTAATGCTTATTTTACCTGAAGTTTCCAGATTATCAAAACTACATCATAAATGGATGTGTGAAGGACAATCCGACAATGGAACGCTCAATCACACTTTGTAACGGTATTTCACAGTGGGTACAACTAATGGTATTAAATAGACCAACACCACAGCTTCGAGCTGAAGTATTCATCAAGTTCATTCATGTGGCCCAGGTCAGCTCTGTTATGAATTGTTTTCAATTTATTGTAGTCTTTATTTGTTTATTTAATAATTAGCGTTACATTCAATTCACCATCATCAGCATACCCCTCAAGGCTATCAGTGCCTGCTGCTAAATGGGGTCTTTAGAAGTGCTGCAGTGATCAGTCATTTCCCTTTTTCAACTGGCTTAGCTGACATTGCCAGCATTGTTGGGATCGGGGCTGAATGGATTGATACTGAGTATTGTATTGTGAGAAATGCACAAAAGCTGCCAAGAACGTTGGTACCACTGTCCATAGAATATGGGGAAAGGAAATGGGCAAGATAAACATATGCCTGGAGCGGGGCAGGAATCTCTTGCAGCATGTGGCTTGGTATCCATCTGTTTATATTAGATACCCATGCTAGGTCTGGTTCTTTTATCTTATCAGATCATGTTTTCTAGGGGGGAGGGGAAGTCAACATTAAAAGATTTGTAAACTAAAAAAAAGCATTTATCTAATTCAGAGCTAGTGGGTTAGATAACTACAGAGCAAAATTTTGTTAATAACAGTGAATAAAATGTATTTAAAGCTGTATTAGGAAAAAGTTCCTTTAAATATTATTGAGATAACATCCAGTTCAATTATATTAATCAAAAATACTATATTTTTCATCAAATAATTGTACTTCCTTTTTTTTTAATACAGAAACTTCATCAGTTGCAAAATTTCAACACATTAATGGCTGTGATAGGAGGTCTTTGCCACAGTTCCATCTCTAGACTTAAAGAAACAAGTTCTCATGTTCCTCATGACATCCATAAGGTTAGTTGTACTTTTTCCTGGTTTTTGTTTATTTCACAATATCCCTGTTAAAGTTGTGCAAGCAATTTAGAAAGACACTGGGCAAAGTGAGCCCCAATTTTCTGAACGTGCTGTTTCAAATGTTTAGGTACTGTTTCTTCTTACGAAGTTACTTCATTTTGGTGGCAATTCCACAGGAAGCGTCTTTGTTATATATCACACATGCTGAGATGGTATCTTGTCATTTCACACCTTGAGCCAAAGGTTGGACAACATCTCTGCCATTTTGTTATGCATTCCTGTGAATGATTTGCAGAGTTTTAATTAATACACCATCTTTCAACTATAAGACCATTGAAAACAATTCACCAATGTGTTTCAAAGATGAATACATGATAAAGATGATGAAGTTCATAAATATTTAAAAATTATTATTCTATTGAGCAGTTTGGAAATAATGATTAAGTTGTTCTGGTCAAAGTTTGCTATTGAAATTGTATTTTCAAAAAGAGATCATTTATATAGGATTCTAGTATATGATTGCAAAATGCTTAAATATATGTCTCAAATGGCTATAATGCTAAGCCATAATTTAATAATATCAGAACATGTCATAATGACTCTCTGCAAAGAGTCATTATTGCAAATTTGCAATAATTGCAAATTTTAGATTAACTGAATCTGGATAAGTGAGTTTAATCTTAAATTTGATGACTGAAATTCTAATTTGTGCGGCTGACTTTCAGTGGACAATAGCAGTGGTTAATTTAAATTGGAAGCAGAGATTTTTAATCACTTCCTTGCAGTTATGTCCAATGAGGGGAGTTTATGAATTTTTTCTTATTATGCTTAATTATTACTGCGCATTATATCAAAACATAGATGTTATACTTGTGTTTCATTGCAAACTTGCTACATCTATTTATTATACTATACTAAAGTGATCCCAAATTATGAACAAAGCTGACTGAATTTGCTTTTGTTGGTTTGCCTTTAGATATTCAATGAAATGACTGAATTGCTCTCATCTGGTAGGAACTATGATAATTACAGACGTGCTTATAATGAGTGCAGTAACTTTAAAATCCCTATACTTGGAGTACACCTGAAAGATTTAATTTCGCTTTATGAAGCTATGCCAGATTACTTGGAAGATAAAAGAGTTAATATGCACAAATTGTATTCTTTGTACAATCATGTCAATGAATTGATACAGCTGCAAGAGATAGGCCCTCCTCTGGAAGCTAACAAGGATCTTGTCCATCTCCTTACAGTAAGTTTCTATATTTATAGATTGTATTTTATGTAATCTGCTTTCACTTTTTTTAAAGTTAAACCAGCCTGAACTATTTTAAATAGCTCAGACACTTTGAAAGTCTCTGCTGAACTCTATATAATGCAAATATTTAACTGATAGGAAAACAATTTCTTTCATTTCCAAAAAAAAAGTTAATTTGTTTTCTCCATACTCTTTAGTTCCACTGCTTTGTGAGTCAGCTGCTACTTTAGTTGCTTAGTACTGTAACACATATTTCTGTAGAATACTTTAGTTAGTGCCAGAAATGGTTTTCATTTATTTTGGATTTCTGAATGTTTAGAATTCCTGAACTATATTTCTTAACATAGAAGTCCTGAACTACATTGCTTAACATCCATGTCAATGGTCCCTCACTGTGAATGTTGAATGGATAGTAGTTGTATAACAGATAATGAACACATGTAGTTATATAACCAGCTATGTAAGAAGCTGGTTCAACATTATTAGTACAATTTCTTGGTGCTTTGAGCCTTTGATAACAGATTTTGACAGCATAACACCCTGGTACTAAGATCTGAATTGGCTCTAAAACCTTAATCCTAAAAACATTTTTCTAATTATATTTCAGCAAAATGATACCTGCTCAGAATTAATAGATTGTAATCTTCTACAAAGCTAGTGTAAAGCTAAGTGAGAGTATAAATACCAATGCTTTGTTGTGAAAAATGAAATAGGATTTTAATTGGTAATATTGCTCCTCTAAAAATATTGTCAATATTTTTTAAAGCTCAATTCAGTGATTGAAATGAATCCACGCAATAGTTAACATATGATCAGGACATTTCTGGGCTAGGCCAGAGATAATGCTGACTGAACTTTCAGTATTATGATTACTCTAGCCTTTCCTAGCTTGGTATCCTTCAGGTGTATTGTGACCAGAACTCCTAGAATTCAACAGATTGGGGAGAAATGGTCTAGCCTGTCCTGACTTCTGCAGCCCCAGTCCTGTTTCAGTGCAGCTATGACAAGCTTCTGGTTTCATTTGAACTTCACTTATGGTTAAACTTAACAATAGTGAGTGGAATCATACCATGCTCCTTGAGGAGAAATTGATTAGAGACTTTATATTAGGATTTGTACAGGTAGCCCTGGACTTACATTTGGTTGCTTAGCAACTGTTCAAAGATACAAGAGACCTGCCTTGAGGCTATTTATGACCTGCATTTAAAGTTCCAACAGATGCCCATCCCCCAATAATCATGTGATCAAACTTCAGGCACTTGGCAGTATGATGATTTTCAGCATCCCAATTACCATTTTATTATGGTTTTGGTAAAAAAAACAAAAACCCATGCCTTTGGGGAACAGTTGGTTTGCTTAATGACTAGGATGTTCACTTCACAACTGTGGATTTGCTTAACAATCACTATAAAAAAGGTGTAAAGTCAAGTCGATCATGTAACCAGCCCATTTTATGATTGTCATGACTTACGACTGTAATAGGCAGACTCTATTACAGTTTTAAATTGACTACACTACATATAGTATCTTATTCTTTTATTTAACTGACTCAAATCCTCCCCCCCCTGTATCTCTCTCTCTCTCTCTCTCTCTCTCTCTCTCTCTCTCACACACACACACACACACACACACACACACACACACACACACAGAGAAATATAGTAATTTTTGGACTATAAGACGCTCCAGACTATAAGACACACATTAGCTTTAGAGGAGGAAAACAAGAAAAAAAATCTGCCTCTGCCGCCCGTTCGCCACCACCACAGCCCATTCACCACAGCCGTTTGCCGCCGCTGTGGCCCGTTTGCCACCAATTGCTGTAAATGGGTAGCAGGGATAGGCAGTGGCGGCAGTCCCCGCCACCTAGAACAGCTGATCGATGCTGCACCAACGCCCCTCCACCCCTGCAATATTTGCTGTATAAGACGTACAGACATTTCCACCCACTTTTTTTGGGGGGGGGGGAATGTGTCTTATAGTCCGAAAAATACGGTACCTCTTTTTGGATCATCTTGAGCAGTCAAAGGTGAAGATTGTAGGAACAATGAAGATTATATATTAATTTGCCCATGATCCTTTCCTGTCTCATTGTCATAGTTTCTAGAAAACGTTGGAATCAGGGACAAGGGAGAGAACTATATAGTTGTCTTTCCTGATATCACAACTAGTAAATGTGAGCAGATGTCACAGAATAAGGCCTGACAGGAGGTTATTTGACTGAATTGGAAAGTTTACATTAATGAACCTGAAATCCTCATACGTAATTTATTAAGATTTGAAAGTGGGTAACTTTCCCTCAAAAGAGATCTGGACTATTTTGTCACTGCTTGCGTTTCCAGAATTTTTTGTTTCCAGAAAAATATATTTAAAATGAGAGTACAGTTTGAATAAAATGCTTTCGGAGTAAGGTCAATTGCTGATATCATATCAACTGGAAAAATGTGTTCATTTTTTGTTTGTAATGTCTAGGCTCATGATATCTAGGTGTTTGTCCTATATTAGAGACCTCAGATTCAGAAAAACACATTTTTGGAGAACACTATGGCATTTTGAAAGTAAAACTGTTTTTGTATTTATTTTCAGTTGTCACTTGACCTTTACTATACAGAAGATGAAATTTATGAACTTTCATATGCTCGAGAGCCAAGAAGTCACCGGGCTGCAGTAAGAAATTTTACTCCAAAGCAGGATGTAGAGATAATTTAATTATATTACAACAACAATTATAATAATTTAATATAGACTATAATAGTAATTATTAAATACAGTAAGTGCAATGCAAATGCACTTATATATTGCAAACATAAATTTATATGTTGCAATAGCAGTATTAGCTATTAAGATATGCTGAGGGCAAAATTTAATAGGCAGGAAAAAGCAATTCAGTATCCAAGTACAACAACAACAATAACAACAAAACCTTTTCATAGCCAGTCAGTCTGCTAGAGCAGGGAACCTTCCACTGACCAAAGACTTCACTTAACTTTTTTGAGAGGCAGAGGCATGTGAAAGTAGAGTTTCAAGGCATTTTTTAAATTATGATTTATTTGTTAAGTATCAGAAGATATAATACATACAAACCAAAAATATTGCCCTACTAGTGAAATATTTTAGTAGTTACACAATAATCTTTAACTGTGCCATCATTTTCAACAGTCCTGACCAGAATTGTCTGTGAGGGCTATAAGAGCTGCATGTGCTAATGGAATCATAAATATGAAATATCCCCGAATCACAAAATATCTAAGTTTAGAAACTTCTGAACCACAGTTTCTTTTTCACAAGATCAGCAGTATCTTGGAAAAGGCCAGTCCAAACTTCACACCATCAGTAATAATGGCAGGGGATGATGGTTGTGAATATATCCTTAAGAGATCTTCTAAAGCAGAAGGTCTTAAATAATAATAAAGCAGAATGTCTTCTTTGTATTACAGGATTGGGCAACTCCCAATTTGCTTTTGTGACTTTCGATGTGTTCCTTTCCCCAGTAATGCCTCCATTTCTGGTGACATTAGTTATATGCCCCCTCAGAAACAATATTTTTTTTAAAAAATGAAGGGCAGTCTCCTAGTGTGCAGAGTTCACAAGTGGCTGAAAAAGGAGGATAGATTATGATCCACTAATTTGCAACCCCCTTTTTGCCTTTTTCAAAGGCAATCTGCTTCATAAGAGGTACTTTGCTCTATGGTAGTGGCTAATGATGCTATCCAATGTTGTTCTGGATTGAGATTTTCAGACACAGAGTATTAATAGAAGTGCTGATAATATGGGAAATTAATTAAATTTATGTGTCACCCAACTCTCAGCAACTCTACATAAAATATGTAAAAGGAAAATATTACATAAAGTAGAGTTACCCAAACTATCTGGCAGTTTTGCTTTATTAATGCTTAGAAGTACCATACTAAATATTGAAATATTATAAACATATAACTGCTTTTAAACATTTATGAATGCTTTTCCTCAATAAATATCCAAATACATTTTACATTTTAGCCCTTGACACCTTGTAAACCACCAGTTGTAGCAGATTGGGCATCTGGAATTGCCCCCAAGCCTGATCCAAAGATAATTAGTAAGCATGTCCAGAGAATGGTAGATGTAAGTATGCTATTTTATTTATTATAAATGTTTTGTGTAGTCTTCTGAGTCTTGATTTATGGTATATTGGTTATGGGGTCCATTGCAGAATTCCCATTTCCATTTGGATATTACTAGAAGATATGTTTATACTACTGCTGTGCTTCTAGATCTTAATAACTTCTTTTTCATTTAGTTTATTTCATTCCAGTCCTTTGTTTGGAAACCCCTGTAAAAGCACTTTTTCAAATAAAGAGGCTGGAAAGAAATATATGGCTACCACCTATCCATATACCACCATCCTCATGGGAATTAGGCCATTACAATAAATAAAATCTAGGCATTGAACTTCATGATAAGATGTTGTTTAACCCTTTGTCTCAATTCCTGATGTGAAGGAACATTTCTGCTAGCAGCTTCCCATGACACAAACCCATAGAAATGAGTTTCAGAGTAACCTGAATTAACACTTTTTCCCCCCACACGATTACAAATCTGAGACCTGGCTACAAATCTTTGAAAAGTGTAGCTTGAAAATCATGGTGCATAAACTCTGAGAGTAAACGGTTAAGACACCAGACTAGAAAGTAGGAGGTTCTGAGTTTTATATTTATTTATATTTCATGTTTCTAGTCGCGCCTTAGCCATAAAAGCGACTGCGTGTCTTTGGCCCATTTCCTCTCTCTCTCAGCCTAACCCACCTCATAGGGTTGTTGTTGGATATGTTCGCTGCCATGAGTTGTTTGTAAAAATAATAAAGGTGGAATACAAATAAATAAAACAGCAGTTTAACAATTGAAGGGAAAGAAGGAATAGCACTGCAGAAAAAGGCATTGTACCATTTGATGTTAGAACTAAATTATTTGCCAAGTTAAGAAATTTATTTGAAATTTTTAAATAAGTACTTGACTAAGCTACAGATTGTGCATTATATATTATGCAGAGGATTACGTGTAGACCCTATATAGAGAGAGTACAGAAGCTAAGTACTGCATATAAATGAAACACTTTTAAATGCCACATAATTTTTAATGAATTTAGAGAAAAGGAGAAATTTATTTTTTTCATTATATGATACCATTTTAAAAAGTATTTTAAAATTAAACCATATAAACATACCAAATTTATATAGCTATTTGTATATTAAATGCTATTTCATAGAACTGGAAGGAACAATGTAGGCAATATAATACAATTTCCTAGTCAATTAAGGGAACTGCAAATGGTATTTGGTTTATTTTAACTACAGCTTTTCTTATTTTCCTATTACTTCATTGCAGTCTGTTTTTAAAAATTATGATCATGATCAGAATGGATATATTTCTCAAGAAGAATTTGAGAAGATTGCTGCAAGCTTTCCTTTCTCCTTTTGCATAATGGACAAGGACAGGTATTCACTTATAAATGTTCTCTGATTATCTTTATATGTGTATCATTATTCAAAGAAAGTATTGGACTTGTATAATATGTCACAGAATTGTATGTACTTATATTGCCCCCTTATTCTTACCTTCTTTGAAGCCTTAAGTTTGATTCTCACTGAGGATAGGATTTCAAGATCATTCCTTGAGCTTTTGACCAGTTGACAAGGCTTGTCCACTCTCTTTGTGTGGTTGTTGGATAATGTCAGCGAAAAGCTTACTTACCATGCTTGGTCTCAAATAACTGACCTGAGAGCAATAAATGCTTTTATATTTAAAGGATGCCTAGTGTACATATTACCTTTCCCTTTAAGCGTGTTTATTCTCTCAGTCAGAATTAGAATTCATATAATGCAATTTGAAGGTACAGTGCTGGTAATTATCCCCCAGCCTGCTTCTTTGTTTTGATAATTGTACAGCATGTTCAGGATTTTTTGTGAAGGCTGCTTCTCAAGCTGGTTTTGAAGAACTATTAAGGAGCCCTTGTGATCTCCTTGGCAGGATCGTGTAGGGTGTGTGCTTGTGTGTTTCATGTACTTCTAGATATTCTTTGCTGTGAAAATGAATTAGTGCTTTTATATTAAATGAGCTGGCAAATGTGTGGCTGAATTGAAATGAAGGGGGGGGGGGAGACACTATTAACTCCTTCTGCTTTAGATGCATTAAGCCCCAATTGACCTTTTTGTTTGTTTGTTTGCAGGGAAGGTCTGATTAGCAGAGATGAAATTACAGCTTATTTCATGAGGGCCAGTTCAATCTATTCAAAATTAGGCCTTGGCTTTGCCCACAATTTCCAGGAGACCACTTACCTAAAGCCGACATTCTGTGACAACTGTGCTGGATTTGTAAGTTTGGGGATAGGGGGTATTTGAAAAGTAAAATTATATCTCATGATGTGTGTAACAAATTGTTATCAGGAACTGTTTGGTTGCAGTAGTAACTCCAGCTTTTTGTTACTATGGAATTTGTTTCGTTTCATTTTTGTGCCTTTAATACTTTAATTACTGTTAATCAGAATGGGCCATACCTTCATTATGAGATGCATGGTTTGCATAATTAAGGTTTTAGGTCAAATTTCAGAGATTTTCAGTTTTAGCTGTAGAGCTCTGAGTTCTCTGATGTAAATCCTGAAAAGTTGCTGCTTCCACACCATATTAACCATTGATCTGATTTAATAAAGGCATTGTTCCATCATGGAATTCAATAGTATTGAATGTAAATAGTAGATGTCAACCAGTAGATGTCCTTTGAAGGCAATGACTAGGCCTTCTAACCGTCTCACCTTCTATCAAATGGCTGCATCATGTGTCCTTAAGCTTTAAAAATATATTTCATTATTGAAACATCTGTATTCTTACCAAAGGAACCTTACTATATCTCAGAGCTCTTACTAATCTCCAGACATTTCTGGTTGACTTTTTGTTTCATAGCCTTCAGTTATAATTTATGGCGGCAGTTCCTTACAGTTTCATGAAGAAAAGATTTAATACTTGATAGGAACCATTTAAGCCATCTGGTTTAACTTTTGCTATGCATAGGAATCCAAATTAAAGCGACCAGTTGCTACCTAACCTCCCCTTCAACACATTAATAAAACCACTTAATTGTTAATTGTTCTATCACTGTGGAACCACTGTTACTCTTAAGGATTATATTTAACAGTCAGTACTTTGCCTTCCTTTAACTTAAATCTTTTATTGCATGTCCTGCACTTCGGAATGAGACAGGAAAAATATGACTTTCTTTGATGTGTTACCCTTTCAAGTATTTGAGGAGTGCTTTCATATCCTCATCCCACAAAATAATGTTTACTCATAGCTAAATATACCTACCTCCTTTGATCTCTCTTCATAGTTTTTAGTTTCTTATGTCCTCCTCTGAATCTGTTTCTATTTGTCTGAATCCTTGTTAAAGTGTAGTGTCCAGAATTGGATACAGTAGTTGGGGTAGGAGACTGATCAAAGCAGAATAAAATGGAATTATTACTACTTGTGATTTGGAAATCATGCCTTTTTTTGATGCACTCTAAAATGTAATTTGCCTTCATTACAGTCAAATCCTTTGTCTTCTTTGCAACTATATCATTCACTTTTCAAACAACTGCTATTCTGAGACCTCTTTTGAAAGTATTTTTGCTAAATTAGATAGCAAATCTCCCTGTCTCCCTTATTATAACTGCATTTGATTTTGATTTTTCTAACTGAAAAACTTTGTAATTATATTTGTTAAATTTCATTCTGTTACTTACAGTATACCGGTATTTCTCAAACCTACTTGATTATTGTTTTTCATTTCATTTCTCTCAGGTGGTATATTACCTATCCCCCAATTTTTGTTATTCTGAAAATTTGATAAGCATTTCTTCCACTTCACTTCACCATTCAAAATAATAATAAAAAAAGAGTAAAATTCCAGGATTGATATTTGTGGAAACCCCACTTAATATCTTTTTTCAATTTGATGCTGAACCATTGATGAGCTCTCTTTGAGTATGGTTTACAAGCTATTTATTTTGCCATGCCATCCATTCCACATTTAAATAATCAGCGTATTATAGGTACTTTGACAAATTCTTTGCTGAAGTTAAAATATACCTATAGTATTCCTGCAATTTATGAAGGAAATTACCTAATCAAGAAAGTGACGAGGTCTGGCTAGATTTATTAGTCTGGCTTTATTAACAAATTCATGATGACTTCTGATAATTTACTGCATGTTGTAATTTTTGCAATGTTTGTAGACTTATACTTTTACTATTTCTAAAATCTTCTCAAATATTGATACCACAGATCTGTAGTCTCCTGGTTCTTCCTCTCTCCTATTTGTTTTTTGTAGATAAGATCAGATTTTTATTCTTTCAGTCATCTTGTCCTTCATTGTTCTTTGGGAATATTTCAAAGGTAATGCATAAATATTACTTCAGTATTTTAGGAAATGATTCATTTTGTCCTAGAGATTTACACTCATTCAAAATAAAGTAATATTCCTTATCGTGTTTCTATCAGATTCAAAGTTTAGTCCTTCATTTTGTGCTTCACTATTTCTTAATAGAATATATATTTTGTTGAAGAATACTGAACCAAACAGGAATTCAATAGTTCTATGTTTCCTTTGTTTCCTGCTACACCTTTGTGTTCTTTACAAAGCAGTTGATCTTTTGTTTTCCAGTGTACATATCTGAAACCTTTTTGTTATTACCATTATTTATTAGCTTCAGTGCATTCTGCATTTTCCCTTTCCTGACACAGTTCTAGAGTTTTTTGTTTATATGATTTTTTTGTAATTTGACCCTTCAATTTTCTGTATGTATCCTCCCCCACTAAATTTCACAATTTTTTTTCATAGCTACATTGATGCTTTTCATTGGAATTTTTTGCAGTTGTGCTTTTGACATCTACTTTAGAAATTTGCATCCATCTTGAGTTTTTTTCTTCTTAGCTTCACCTACTGTGGGATCCTATTATCATTGCTTTAAGTTTATTAACATTTGTTTTTTGAAGTCCAAAATGAATATTTGAGAATGCTCAGTTTTAGTTTGTCTTAATAGTAAGGACTTCAGAATTACATGATTTCCACCTGTTCCTTTTAGTTTCTTTTCTAAGCCCCCGTAAAGATTAGCGTGAAGTCAAGAATCTTCTTATGCTTTTCCCAACCTTATATATGAGAAAATAGTCATAAAGACAAGTCCAGAATTTCCTCCCAACTGATAGCAGATAATTAAAGTCCTCCCTCACTACAACTTCACTTTCAAAGATGTGGTATTTGCTTCTGGATAGTTTTGTCCTTCTTGGTTGGGACAATAGATTCCAATAGTTTTTATTTCCTCCTCCACTAATTTAAAATCCAGATGCTTTTTACAGCATTGCCAAATTAATTCACTTAGACTTCTAAACAGGAATGCATACAGTGTAACTCTAATACATGCAGTATATGTATGTATTAGAGTTACATAACTTCCTTTCTGTTGCTTCAGTTCATGGAATAAAGTATATGTTTCATTTGCTATATTCCAGAGCTGTCAAACTCACGGCCCACGGGCCAGATGCATCACATGTTGGCCACGCCCACGCCTGGTTTAGCGAAGAGGGAAAAAGTCACCATATGTCACATGACGCTGTGATGACATGTGTTTCACACCCCTGCTATATTCCAATCCTTGACAGTCTCTTCAGATGATTCATTATACCTGTTAAATCATATATTTTCTTCTGTACTACAATCGCAAACTCTTTTTGGTTATTTAGCATATTCTGAACATGAATATGAAGGCATGGAAGGCTACCCATTTCTACTTTTAATCTCAGGGATTATTTAATAGTATTATTCTAATACTATTGAGATTTCTCTGAAAAACAGCTTTTTGAATTCCTTGCACTGAAAATAGCTATAATGTGAGTCAGGAAAAATGATTAGTATTTAAATCTTCATAATGATCCACAAACCAGTAACTAACTGTTCTTAAACTTGTATACATTAAGTTGAAACTCTTGCATCTTCTCTTGATCATTTTAAATGCAGTTCACAAATCAAAATAAAGTTGGAATTATTTTAAAATATTCTAAATGCTATGAAAATTGTAGAGAATGGTTAATAATTAACTAAGATAAATACAGAATCAGAATATTTTACACTGTGTCTGTTGTATCGTACCGTTATTCCGGGGGGGGAGGGGGGCGGGGGGGCGGGGAAGATAATTTCTTCTTTCATTGGTTTTCTGCATGGCATTTTGCCTACTTATATTGAGGAAAAATACTGCTTTGAAATAGAAATAGCCAATACGTCTTACATTTTTGATGACTTAATGAAACTAAACTTTGAAATAAGAGTTGAAATGCAGCTTAAATGTATGGTTTAACTTGAATGCAATATTATAATGTGTTTTTCCTTATTTTTTTTTTTTAGCTTTGGGGTGTTATTAAACAAGGATATAGGTGCAAAGGTAAATAACTTTGTTTGAATTAAATAATCTTTTGATGGCAAATTGTCCATTGTGGTATGGACAATTTTTTCCATTTGAATAACAGATTTTAAATTATTTTAGAAATGGGATTTTTAGCATAAATAACCTAGAACCTAAAAATTTCCCTATCTATATCTATATTACTCCATTGCTTTGTTCGTTTCCTGGGTAACTGCAAAATCTGGGAACAAACCATCGGGAAAATATGCAGAGATTGTTTCATCAGTTCATGTTCATCTTAGATTATTAACTGGCAGGTGATTTTATTGAAAGGTGTAATTTGACTTTTAGTTAAGTAGCAATGCCATATAATACTGTTCTATATTTAAAAGTATACTTTAAATGCATTAAAGGTATGAAAAAGGCTTATCTCTGGTAAAACCTACATAGACCTGAATTAGTTCATGTAGCGTTTTCTTGGTCTTTGGAAAATTTGGAAAGAACAGGACAGAATAACAGAGTTAGAAGGGACCTTGGTGGTCTTCTAGTCCAACCTCCTGCTTAGGTAGAATAAGCCTATGCCATTTCATACCAATGGTTGTCCAATCTTGTCTTAAAAACTTCTAGTGTTGGGGCATTCACAACTTCTGCAGGCAAGTTGTTCCACTGATTAATTGTTCTAACTGTCAGGAAATTTCTCCTTAGTTCTAGGTTGCTTCTCTCCTTGATTGGTTTCTATCCATTGCTTCTTGTCCTGCCCTCAGGTGCTTTGGAGAATAGCTTGGCTCCCTATTCCTTGTGACAACCCCTGAGATACTGGAACACTGCAATCATGTCACCCCTAGTCTTTCTTTTCATTAAACTAACTGCTTTAATTTAGGAAGTAGGAAAGGAATTGAGATAGAAGAGGAATTAATATGTGGAATTAGTATTTTATTTTTTGCCACTAATCTAGTAAACTGACTTTGTTTTTACTTGTTTCAAGATTGTGGAATGAACTGTCATAAGCAATGCAAGGATCTAGTTGTATTTGAATGCAAAAGAAGACCCAAAATGACCACTGTGGATAACAGTCCAACATCAGCTCTTGCATCTAGCCTCTGTCCCATGGGACTTAAAGAGCATATGCATGGTAAGTTCAGTTTAATGAAACATTCTGGTATCGTTTGTTACTCAACAGTTTGTCTATTTTTTAAGAATAATAATAGCTAGTGATAGTGATTTTCAAAATGGTGTTCCATTGTTAATACATCAGCAAATTCCATCCACTCTGCAAAAATTCATCAGGGCTTCCGAAGACATATCTACTTAGGAAACAAATGTTATGTGTAACCTTGGATAGTGGATGATCACCCTTTCTATGCAATATTTTTGTTTTTGAAGCCAACACAACTAATTATCGGTACTAAACCAAGTAAGCAGTAAGTAGAACTGTATTACAGGGCAGGGAGATGCTCCTTTCAATGTTTCAGCATAAAGACAATGATAGTAATTAAAATATATTATTTGTAATTAATGTCTGAATTCTAGCTAGAATTCACACAGATTTACAAAGATATGTATCATTGAGGTGGTTTTGGTTTTTTTTTTTGCATTTTATGTGTAATAGGTAAACTTTCAGGTTTCTGGGTTCTATAATCTCCCAGGACTTGAAATGGACATCTAACATTAGAACCATCATTAAAAAGGCACAACAAAGAATGTGTTCTTCCTGTATCAACTCAGAAAGCTCAGACTCTCCAAGGAGCTGCTGATACAGTTCTACAGATGAATTTTTGGAATCTATTATCTGTACTTCTATAACAGAATAGGTTATAGGTACAGACTTCAACAGATAGTTAGGACTGCAGAAAAAACAATTGAAACTAGCCTGCTTTCCACAGAAGACCTGTATACTGCATGAACCAGAAAGAGGGCTGAGAAAATAAACTGGACACAATTGTTTCAGTTCTTCCCCTTAGGATGCTGCTATAGGCATTGCATACCAAAACAACTAGATACAAAGACAGCTTTTCCCTCCTGCCATCACTCTGCTGAACATCTCATTTCTACAGCACTCTCTTATGTCTAAGGATATTTACCCATGTAGTAGGGCTATATTACTATTATCCTTCTCTTCTTTTGCCTTCTATTATTAGTATCTTATGATTATATTACCTTTTTGTTTATATATACACTGAGAGCTTATGCACCAGAATAAAGATTCTGTTCTGTTTGCTATTATTTCTATTTCTATTTCCTATTCTATTTGTATTCCTATTCTATTCATATACCCTAGCTCAGAGATAAATTCTTTAGAGTTTCATAGTACAATTGATGGATGGAGATTTAATGAAAAATCCTTTTGGACACGCAGCTTATTTTGCCAGCACTTTATTAGAAGGTATTTATGATATATATATTTTAGACAGTAGTTCCTTCTAATTCTCATGCACTTTTTATCCAAACTACAATTTCTGTTTAAGGAGTTTGTCTATCCCTGTGTCCAATTTTTCTTTAGATGCCTCAAACTTACTTTCTGACCTTGACTTTGACTCCTTTTCTAGACTATAGAACTACCTTTCCCAGGCTGGTATTCTCTGTTGTGTTTTGGGGGTGTTTGGAGAAGTCCAGTATATCTGAAGAACAGTTAAATGAAAGCTACTGCTGAATTTTTTGAGTTGTTACTTTACAAATAAGAGATTATATTCTTGCTTAATATTGTGAGTGAGTATTGGTAATGAGTAATGGAGCATGTCAGAGAGAAGAAGATGCCTTATACTGACATAGACCTTTGATTTGTTAGTTCAGGCTTTCTGACCCAAGTATCCTCTATAAGGGTAAACTTTCGCTCCCAGAATTCTCAGACATAGCCTGGAATCACAGATCTGGGACTGAAGTCTCTGTTCAACTTTGAGTGGGCTGATCCAATTCAGTGCAGGAAATTGGAGTGTCAGGCAGGAATGTTTTTCAGTTCTTCCTAGAGATTTCAGAAATTTAATATGATTTTTAGCATGTGTATATATGAACCCAAGTTATTGTTGTTTGTAAATTATAGATAATATGATAAGATGTGTTATCTAACCACAGTTGTTCATTAAGAAATAAGGGTGAAAACAAGCCATAGCTTAATGTCATGTGTGAGATCTGATTGAGTACCCTTTATTTAGCAGTGATCATTATGAGCATGTCATTATATCCGTTATTTTTTTCTGTTGTAAATCTTGCATACTCTTAAACCATCACTAGTAGGATATAAATGTTTCTCACCAGAAAGCATTAAGTTGTAAGGCCAATATTGTTAATCTAATGGACAAATTACATGATGAAATGTATAGTAATGCTAGAAATAAAGTTAAGGAAGTAAAATAAATAATGGTCTTTAGATATTGCCTTTATTATTTTCACTTCAGAATATTGTGTAACACATTATGATCCCCAGTGCTCAATGCTTGTGTTCTACGTTTTTCCCCACCTTAGGGCTGGAGGAAGGAGGATATCCATTTCCTAATGGCGAGGTGGTTGAACATAATGAAGGCAGCAAAGATAGAACTATTATGCTCATGGGAGCATCAGCCCAGAAAATCTCAGTAAGGCTAAAGCCATCTGTGGTACACAAGGGTATACAAACTGATATAATGATGGCGCTCGGTAATGAAGTGTCTAATCTACAAAGAGAGTCTGGAACATCATCTGAAAGTAGTTTTCTCCAGCCGTCTCCTATGTTTCCATGTCCAAGTCCACTTCTTGCCCGGAAAAAGGCGTATGTGAAATGGGAAAATAAGGATTGCAGTCAAAAAGTGAAGGAAGATCCACAAACACTAAAACCCACATATCAAGAACTAGAAAAGGTATGAAATAGCTTTGAAAACTGCACAGAATAATTGAGATTATGCGGAAACCATGTAAACTCTCTTGCTCTGAGTTTAAAGTATATAAACGAGTACTTTTTTTAAATAGAAATTTTCAGGTACACCAACAGCCCTTTATGACACTAAGAATAAGTGAAATAAGTGCAAAAATCCTGTGGCTAGGCTCCTTGAATTTCTGGTTTTAAAATGGCCATTTGAATTAAAAAGGATATTTCCAAAATTAATACAGGTAGTCATCAAGCTACTAACAAGCATTTAAAGACTCCTCCTCCAAACTACCGTGTTTCCCCGAAAATATGACCCTGTCTTATATTTTTTTGAACCCTGAAATCAGCGCTTGGCCTTATTGCCATGTGCTCAAAAGTGCATGGGCTTATTATCAGGGGATGTCTTATTTTGGGGGAAAACAGGGTACATATGACCCCATTTCAAAGTTACAACAGATGCAGCGGCCCAGCAGTCATTTGCCCTTATCACCCACCACAAGGTTGCTGCAGCACCCCTCCACTTCTCTCTCCACATCCCACATCCCACCCCGCCAGAACCCAGCAATTCTTGGCGCCCCTCCCCCACCCACATATGCTCACACAATGCTTACCTTTTAAAGCTCTCCCTACCTCATATTGTGGAAGGAGAGCAGACTGTGCGTCCCCAGGATGTGATCCAAATGTGGCCACCATTTTGTTCTCTCTGCTTGTAGGCCAGACAAACTGCTTCATTTTGCTGCCTTAGAGAGTTCTGCACGGTGCTTCAGAAGCTTCTGAACACCACTGTGCAGACCTGGGTCTTGTGGCAGCAACCTGAATGTGGCTGCCATTTTGTCCCCACACCCACAAACTGGTGGGGACAAAATGGCAGCCGCAAGACAAACTGCTTTGTGTGGGGTGGGGAGGAGGGTGTGGGATCCAGGTAGGCAGGGAAACAGGTCCAAGACCCGAGGCGACCCCAAGGGGTGGGAAGTTGTTCTGACCTAGGCTTCCTTAGAAACTATAAAGCACAATCTTAGTCCCAGCAAAACCTCTTTTATTTACATGGCTGTGAATTATTGTCATTCACAATCCACAAGGCTTCACAAAGAGTCTTTCAGGGGAATGTTTATAAACACCCACCTTATCTCCCTTGGAATGCTGCCAGAGAACTAATTGCCAAATGCAGGGCAAGGCCAAACTTGGCACAGAGTCATACAGAACTTTTCAAAGCTTGAACCGACCAGATGAACTAATTGCTTCCTGCAAAAGCTCACATCCCTTTCGCTCCTCTGTTATGTCTTATGGGAGGGGCCAAACATCTCCAAGCCTTACTCCCAAGTTGACCCTGTTTTCATAATTGTTCTTGTCTTCTGGCGGCTCTGAGCATGTGCACACTGGGAACAGGCTCCCGCTGTTCTTCTGCCTCACTGATGTCAGACTTCGGAGGCGCTGGAGACTCCGGAGGCAGCACATAACTATCAGATGGCCTTGGCCCCCTCTCTGCCTCTGATGCAGAGCCCTCATCCGAGCTTTCCCCAGCCCCCAGGCCTGACCCAAGTTCCTCCCCAACCTCCTCATGGTCCAACTCTGCTGCCAGCTCTGCTGGCTGCCGGCAGGCCACAACAGAAGTGAAGTAGAGGGTGCCTCAGGAGCTGGAGGAGGCCTGGGGCAGGCTACATGGGGGCTGGGGAGATGATGCAATACGAACCTGGGCCTGCTGTAGGCCCCCAAGACTTCCCCCATCTCTGAGGCACTCCATGCTCCGCTTAATAACCTATGCAACTTGAGTTACGTGGAGAGCCATTATCCATCACCGCCTTCCTCCTCTCCTGCGGAATGGAAAACTCGGGTGGCAGAAGATTCATCAGTTAAAATATTTTCTTCCAATTACTCAGAAGATGCTGTTTGCAAATGAAAGCATGTGTTCACCAAGCTCTCTTTTCTCAGAGTCAGTTGTGGTAATTGCTCTCCTCTTGGGCAAACAACTGTGTATTTTTCACTCCATTTACTGTTCAAGTCACATAATTCTTAAACTAACATGCCATTCAGGCAAGTGTTCCTACTAACAAAACTAAACATTCAAAACTATTCTGTTCTGATGGTATATTTTTGTTTAGGAAAGAAATGTTCTGACTGCAGAGAATGAAGCTCTCAAGCTGCGCCTTAAACAAGCTCATAAGAAGATTGAATTCCTCAGCATTCAACGAAATCACATACTGGACACTAGGGAACATGGAGATTGCTTGTAGCTTAGAAGAAAGACATAGTGAGGAAAAGGATAAAACCAGTGGGTTTTCTGAGTGTATTTAAGTGTATGTAATTAAATGTGTGCAGCATGGCAGGAATTTAAAGTAAGGTTGTCTTATTTTGATTGCTGTTAGTACTTGTGGATGTATATATTTTGTGCTATCAGTTTAACTAGTTTACCTTCTGTTTGGCTGAAACTGCGTCGTTTGGAGTTCCTGTTATTTTTAGAACAAGGAACACACCTGTTGCCAAAGTAACCAAACTGCATTATCAAATAGGAATGTGTACCTTGGGCTAATTGTTGCTAATTTTGGCAATGCAAACTTGAAAATGGGTATGGTTTTTTATTTGAAACTTAACCACAAATGTTGCTGCTTGAATGGGCATATGAGTCAAACAGCCATTTCCATATTCTTTTTGAATTGGTTAGTCTCTTTCTAAGGATGCACATTTCAGATAGGCAGTTCCAAAAGCTTCCTCTTGGCAGCGGTGCACAGAATATGGGCAAAAATATAAAGATGCTAGCCACAAAGGTACAATCAAAGTTTCATTTGTTTTTTATGTACATTGCACACACACACACACACACACACACACACACACACACACAGTGGCATGGTAGCTCAATGACTTAAAAGACATTGGAGAAAGTCTGTATTCCAGCAGTTCAAGTCCTATCACTGTGTGACAGAGTGAGCTCCTGTCACTTGCCTCAGCTCCTGCCAGCCTAGCAGTTCAAAACCATGTAAATGTAAGTAGATAAATAGGTACCACTTCATGGGAAGGTAACAGTATTCTGTGTTTCATCAAACACTTTTTGCTGAAGCATGATGTCATGTTGTCCATATAACTGCAGAAATGTCTTCGGATAGTGCTGGCTCAATGGCTTAAAGAAACGGAAATGAGCCCCCCCCCCAAGATGGCTACAAGTAAACCCCACAGGGACTCCTTTTCCATACACACACACATACAAACCAAACTGACAGAACTGTGATGGCCTTGGCACTACACCCTCCAGTCTCACTATGCGAAAAGATTTTCAACTTGGATTTTGGCACTGACATTCTAAAACAAAGTCAAAATGAGCAATTTCACTGGCTATAGATTTGCATGATCCAGCTTTAAAAAATACCTTTTTTAAAAAATATCCCCAGAAAAAGGCTCCTGATACTGATGGTTTTGATTTAGTTTCTATTGTAGTCAATAGACCAGATTCCTTTTGCTTGAAAATCTTTAATCAGTTCAGGCTTTCATAGAATACCTTTTAATGAGAAGGAATGAACCAGATTAGCAGCATTATTTTTTTACTGTGCCACATAGATTATTTCCCGCTGACAGTCAAGTCAATGCTGGTCAGTTTTGGTCTGTTATGGCCATATGTTACAAGGTAACTTAGCTATAATCTTATTGCTTTTTTTTCTATCGGGTGGGAAAATGTGGCTCTTTTACAACCTGTGGACTTCAACTCCCAGAATTCCTGAGCTAGCTTGGCTGTCTCGGGAATTCTGGGAGTTGAAGTCCACAGGTTGTAAAAGCCACATTTGCCCCCCCTGCCCTAGCTGGAAGTTGTAGGTAATAGTTGACTTAACTGTTGAAAGATACAATGCATCTCCCCTGGGAATACTTATTACTCAGTTCCAAAATTCTGATGACCACCTCTCCCTGCGTATTTACAGACATTTGTAGCACCCTGTGATCACCTGACCATGTTTTAGAATGGTTTTGCTGAAAACTGCCATTTACTTCAGGTTTTCAGCACACACACAAAAAAACCTATAGCAAACCATTGCTTTCCCTAAAAGCCTCAGCATTTGCTTAGTGGCCAAGGTAACTGCTTTATGATCGCAATGGTTGCTATACAGCTGCCACAAAAAGCTCATAAAATTAGGTCAGTCATGTGGATGAGCCATTTTACGATCATCATTAGTTATGACCATGATGGGCAGGCTCCATTATAGTCATAAGTCAAGTAGCCATACATGCAATGTATTGATACAGTTAGAATGCAAAATGAGAAGAAATAATGTGTAAATTCAATGTGTACCAATGTGGTAGAAACTAAGATGGTTTGCAAGAATAGAAAAGAATGGAGAGTTATAGCAAATTGTGATTGTGCAAACTGATTTAATTGGATTTCTTTTCTCTTTTTGCACACCACTTCTGTGCTTTGCATAACATTTGGCTTGCACTGAAAAGGAATAGCAAAAAGAAATAGCATGTTGGGTGTGTACAGTACGTATTTATGCGTATAAATACAATATTTATTTGATTCCTAGTGAAAGGTGCTATACTTCTTTTTCGACCATTGTGAAAGAAAATATTCTCTCACTTGCCAAATCAAGTGTGCAAGATTCCCCAGTCCCTCTGCACTTTTGCCAACCCAACCACTTATAAATATCTGTGTACCTTCCTTGACCTGCAGAGCACCTCTTGTGTATATCTCTCTGACCATAATTCAGGAACCACCTGATAAGCACAAGCGATGCTAAAAGCCACTTTCATGTCTCATGTCTACATTTCTTTTTTAATAGTAATTTTATTAAAAATTGCAATTAAAATTGCAACAATAAAAATACAATTAAAGAAAAAAATAGAAAAGAAAATATATAAAGAAAAAGAAAATATATAAAGAAATGACTCCCCTCTTCAACACAACAAATATAAACAATTATAGTAACATATTACCCTTAAAAAATAACTATGACTTCTTCCCATATCCTATCTATTATCTAGAAACAAATAAATAAAGCCTCATCATTTAAGCCCTGGTGTTAGCAAAAGTCAATTAAGGATTACCAGAGATAACATATCTATTTTAACCTAGATCAAATAAAGCAAATTTATATTCCTTTGTTTTACTTCTAATGTTGATCTTTAGTCCCTTCAAATAATGTCCTAGAACTTGCTTTCTTTTCACTTTTTTCTCCTGTCACAAAATTCTTCAAAGCTTTAACAAGTCTCTTTTGTAAATCCAAAATGGGAAAATTATCCAGCTCACTCTATTGATTTGTTATTCGTACATCCCTTTTAATTGTTAAGAAATGAGCTGGGTTTTATTGTATTTTTAACATAACGTCATTTTCCATGTCATTCTTTACAATTTCTGAAGGTGATTACAAAAGAAAAGTATGCAAAGCTAGTGTTCTTTTAAAGGCACCGACTACGATTTGAGCAAGTTGGCTATTCCCTCATCTGCCAGAGCTCTAAAGCCACTGGTGACTGCTGTCTTGTAGTCCTCTCACAAGATGGAATTGTCTGGAACACTTGTGGGTGATCTCAAGTGTTCTTGTCTGGAGGGGAATTACAAACAGCTTTGTTAAATTGTCTCTTCATTCTGCCATGGTTATTGGCTCTGCTTTTCATGGAACTGTCTTGAGTTCTTCTCTGGAAATGTATACATTTGCATTCCATAATGATTCTAGAACTGACAAATCAGTAGTACACTATAAAATATTGTGTAGCACACTGTTGATTTTCATGTAACTTTTGTTCTATTTATTTACAACCTTATTTTAAGGCTTTGTTCCAAATGTAATTTATTTTTTGTAATGATGTATTTCCCCAGCTAAAATGGTATTTGTACTTTGTATGTAATATATAGTTACTCTTTTTTTGAGTAATGTCATGGTACTATTATATTTGTACATTTCCTTGTAAGGCTCAACTTAATCTAGATTCTTTAGATTCTTTAAATAAGTAGCTTTTGTAATTTAAATATTTTTCAGAAACATCTCCAATTGATGTTAGGTAAGTCTGATTATTTAATGTAAATTATTGTATAATAAAAATGATCAATGCTTGTTTTTTTAAGGTTGAACTGAAAACTAGAAGTTATACACTAAATGTGAACTGAAGCAATGAAAATCGCTTGATTGCACTTGATAATTGTTTGTATTCTTTTCCAATATTTGCTTACCTTTAGCAGTCATGTATAAGCCAGCATAGGATGCCCCTTTAAGGGGAAGCTGACAGTTGTGATGTGTATGTCTGTTCACATTGAATTACCTTTTTTTCCTCCCAGCCTGTGCAAGTGTTTTTGTGTGTGTGTGCACACATACATATGTACCATGTTTCATATGTACCGTGTTTCATGTCCTCAACTTATGAACATAATTTTGATCATAAATCATTGTGATTGTAAGTCATGGCACTCATGTGACCAGAGATGATTTTTTTTTTTTACCATTTTTATATTGGTCTTTCAGTAAATCACATAGTCGTTAAGTGAATCCATTCTCAAGGGAGTGGGCATTTTTTTGCCAGAAACCAGGAAGAAGCATTGCAAGTCAGTTATGTGACATGGGATACTATAATTGATCACAAATGCATGCCAATTGCCAAGTGCCCAGAATGTGCTTCTGACCATGGGGGTGGGGAGGAGACAACATTTTATAATGGTTGAAAGTGTTTTAGAGATTGTAAAATACCCTTTCCGAAGGCTGTTATAATTTCAAATGGCTGTTAAACAACTAGTCATAACTCAAGGACTATCTCTACACAAGGTGATTCTGTTACATGCTGACAAAAGAGTAGTAAAAGATGGATTGATAAGATTTATATAGACTTACATTTTCCAGAATGAGTTTTTATATGATTTAGTGTTGCTTCTCTCCCTAGATAATCATGGATAACAATGCATTTTTGTAGTAATAAGTAGTGTATTAGAATTCTGTGCGTAAGGGGTCTTTTGACTGTCTGAATCCAACCTTCTGATTAATGGATGAATTCAAATTAAAAGTTGGCTTGTCCGATTTCTGCTTGAACACAGCCAGTGTAAGGGCCAAAGTAAATGGTTCAATTGTCAACAATTAGGAAGTTCTACCATTTAAGGCTAAACATCCAAGATCTCTTGGCTCAAAGGTTTATTTTTCAATTTTCTCATCAAGCTCTTCGCTGTTCTGCCCCAGCTACGGAACCCAAGAAATGTAGCACACACAAAACTCCGAACAACTCCGCTTACTACAAACAGTCTTTTTCAAATGCAGGCTATTACTAAAAATGTCAACAGCCTGCCAGAAATTCCAAAGATTAGATAAAGGCTTACAAGAGTTGGCACTTAGCCCCGAAACCAGGTTTGCAAGAAAAATTCACACTCAAATGCTCAACGGATGACTGTTGAAATGTTTCTTGCAACGTTTGCCAGCTGTGTGCAAACTTAAATAGGCTAAGGGAGTGGCCAATTAGCCCCAAGCCTTACTCTCGAGGAGACCTCCTCCTGAGTAACCACTCCTGAGGAGACCTCCTCCTGAGTAACCACTCCTGCCTTTTGGCAGCTCTGCGTGCTCGTGCATTGAGAAGAGGCTCCTCCACTTCACTTTCTTCATTTGAAGGTACCTCTGGAGGTTCTGAAGGCCCTGGCTGAATCTCTGCCTCTGGCACATCTTCAGCCTCCTCGCTGTCCAACTCGAGCCCCGGCTGCACAGGCTGCTGGCGTGACACCACACCAGCCTCCTTGTCAGGATCAGCCACAATCCGCACAGGCCACTGGCGGGCCACAACATTCGCCCTTTCACCTGCTTTTAAGTTTTTCTACATCTTATGGCATCCAGTACTAGGTTAGGCATCTATTGAAGTAGGGCCTAAGAAATATGGAATGTAGTGGAAGAATTTCCTTCCATGATAAACACACACCTTTTAGAAAACCTTGTGTCCCATCGGCTTGTAATTAACTACAATTCCAAAATTGTGCATTGAGTTTGTCCAGAGAAGTGCAACCTCATGACACAATGCTAGATCTTGGGGAGGCAGAAGCCCCAAAGCCACTGTCTTGCTAAAGTAGAATTGGAGCTGATTCCTCCCCACCCAGATCCTCACAGCCTCCAGCTGCTGGGCCAGCACCTCAGCAGCAGCATCTGCCTGGCTAGAGGTAAAGATGTATAACTAGCATCAATATCATACTGTTGATACTCCACCCCTTGCCACTGAATGACTTTAGCTGGCAGTTTCATTTAGATACAGATATTAAAGGAAGCCTTGATTAGCCAAATCAGGAGGGGCATATGTTCCAACTCAACTATAGATATATAGTCAGCCTCTTCAAGGAAAATTGGAATAGTTTAAAATATACTGTATTTTACCAATACAACAGATTTTATTGATCATTTGTGACTCCATTTCTATGTAAGTTATTTATTTATCCTGAGGAAGACAGAACTGGCAAACTAAGCCAAGCATATCATATATTGAGCCTAGTTCTGTCTTTTGCAATTACCTTAACCATGTCATGCTTATGGGGAGTAGATTCTGTGACAATCAGGATTTACTTCTTAGTTTAAACTTAGTAAAATGATTAAATGATCATTTGCAATTCCTCTTTCCAAGCTAATTATATACATTTCATGAAGAAATTTTACTGCCACTGAAATCGTATTAGGATTATTTGCTATAGTTCAAGTCATTATGTTATGTTAGCAAGTGTTCTGAACTTAAAACTACAGTAAGACTTTTTTAGTCCACTTCATCACCTATAAACAGAATTATTACAAAAACTGTCATTTAAAATGCACTGTATCTGAATATGATAAAAGTATAATTTCCCCTTACATTACAATTAAATAGATATGATGGTGAGAAATTACTATGGTTGCATTGGTTAAAGAAATCCTGTTAAGTGATGGCTTGTAGAACTATATCTGGTCACTTTAGTTTTGACTATTGTATCAAGATTTTCCTAGCTCAACAGAGCATGTTGCTTAAAGGAGGTGCCCCCGTGTGGTGATGGCTAGTATTTATATCAGCCAGAAAAAGAAAATCAATAATCAGAAATGTCTACTGACTACTACCTGCAGACATGCAAACACATTCAGAATTAAAACTGGACATCTGCTGAATTCCAGCAGAAAGTTAGCTTATCCAATACTATGGCGGTCATCTCTCTTCCATCCCCTCTCTCCTGCAGTGCCAAACACTGTACAACTGATAATATGAAGGCATATCAGCACTCTGTAAAACCCCTACTAGGTTTTGAGTTGATTTGGATATTTTTCTTTTCTCTGTAACCAATGGTTAATAAAATAAATGATTACCTCTGCAAATTTTGCTCAATCAGTAAAAGAAAATGAACTGTTGATTTTCAATGACAGCAAAGATAGGTATAGACACTTCCATTTTCAAGAGGTGAGCAAAACAATCCAAACTGAAAATAATTATTTTACATTTGAATGTGGTCAAATTTTAATAAAAGTATTCTAAAAATATCCATTTCAAAATTTGCTATTTTAAGAAAACCTGCAATTTTTCAAATGCATTTGTTCATAGACTGCCACATATATCCAACCATTTATTAGCCACTTAATACCACCTTGCTATTAGCAAAATGGGTATGTCTTCCAAAATTAAATGTGTTTTTAGATATATATGAAATACATATAAGTAGCAAATATATTTGAGCATTTTTAACAAAAGATTCTTTTGAAGGAAACAGTTTCTATTACATCTCTACTAATGTGTAAGAATGCTACAGCAACAACTACTATATTTTATTTCTTAGTGTTCACAATTGTAAATGATCTATTACTTAAACCGTTCTCTAGGTAGCTATTAAAATATTTTTTTTCAGTAGATGTTCCATGTATACGAACAGAAACACAACACTGGATTACTGTTAATACAAACTATTTATATAAGAACATTACGTTCTATAAAATACACTATTCAGATTTAAACATATAAAAGGTATTGGATTTTTATTGCATTGTTAGAGGTTGTCAAAATTACAAGCAATTACCAGAAATTATTATTCATCCTTAACTTTGAAATGTTTTCTGATTTGGGAAGATCACGAAATGTTAAACAATTACAGGTTTAACTAGTTAAAAATAATCTCTCTTCACTTTTGGCTCAGAAGAACAGTATGTCTTGCTTTTCATTTTTATCAGTTAAAATAAAATATTATATAATTTCTGGAATAATACCTTAGTGTACATCAGTATTTCTTAACCTTGGCAACTTTAAGATGCGTAGACATCAACTCTCAGAATACCATAGTATGCATGGGATTTGAGATCCAACTTCTTAAAGTTGTCAAAGTTGAGAAACACAGGCGCACATAATTGGAACATGAGAACAATGAATTTGAAATCTAGAGAAAAATTAACAGAATTGTAAGACATGGCAGTCAACTAAAATCAGGAAAAATTGTGCTCCATTAATCAGTCAAAAGATTCTTGTTTCTACTGCTTATACTTCAAAAGACACATGTACCATGATCTTTGGCCAAACCAAGAACTACAGAAAATACTTTTGTTCAATAAAGCCTGCTTTGGCCTTTCTTTTAGAAAAAATTAGTGGAGATAGGATGCAGAATACATTCTATGAAACCTTAAATGTTCTATGTGTCCTCAGGCACGAAATCAGAGTATTATCGCTTGAACATTCCTATCAGAACACCAATAGTGATCTGAGTGCATCTCCTAGCAGACTATATTGATTGAAGTACCTCATGTACCTTCACTAAGCTAAATCCAATGCTTCTTTCTTTGCTTGGTATTTTGCCAACAGAAAGGTTGGATGGGGCAAATGGCAGAAAGGCTGGATGGGGCAAATATCAATTTCAGGGTCGTATCTTTTTCAGCAGCCTTGTTAAATAAATAAACATCCAGATGAACAATAATGTGAAACAAAGAAACTAAAAAACCCGAGCCAAAAATAATTAGGGACACTTTACACACTTTTAAGAGATAGATGGGTTCTGCACAGAAAACACCACATACCCTGCATGTTTAGCATCAAATTTGTACATCAAACTTGTACATAACAATTTTGTTGCGTATTTGCAACCCGAAGGTTTTCCATAAGTCATTGCTTCCATTCATGTATATGTTGCTGGTAATGACAAATGCGTGAGTACATATGCTTGGATAGACAGAAGTCATCTCTGTAGTGAAAATTAATTTTGTATAAGGTGGTTTTAAATGAATGGAACAACCAGGATTCTTCAGTAAGGAAGATCAATGCAGTTCAAGCATCACATTTGCCCATCAGCAATAATGTATTCCGAGACCCTGCTCTCAAGAGTATGCATGTCGGTCAACATTAAGATGTTAGTATTTTCTATAGCCAACTCCCCTTCTACCATATGAATCACCATATCCTCCTCTCCCACTATAATCACCCCTTCCTTGATATCCACTTCCTCCCCTCCAGCCACCC